CATGAACACAAATAGCAAAGGCACAGGCATGTTTTTCCCCGAGTTCTCTGCTACTCTCCACACATACAGCATCCTTCCTCACTCATCTGCCTAGACTTTCCAGACCCAACTTCCAAGCCCCACAGCCTTTGCTTGGATGGCCCCTGGATTCTTAGCCATTCCTCGGTACCAGTGGTGGAAGAGGCGGCTTGGGAGAATGGGGGTCAGGGAAAGAACTCACAGGCTGCCAGGACCAGCTGACAGCATTCAGTGATCTGCCCTCTCTGGGACTGACAAAAAGTTGGCACGGTTTCTGCTGTTACCTTCATTTCTTTCTTTTGGTTTCAACTTGACATTTTTTATTGCTTCACTCTCATCTTTGTGGAGTGTCTCTAGTGCTTTATTACAATTGATAAACACAGTAAGTAAATCTTTAACGAGGGATAAAGGAAAGACTGTTATATTTATGGCACCAGATCACAGCACAGTTTTTTCTGTTATTGTTTCCCACAGTCCCTTGCATTTTCAAGAAATGGGCAACAGTGATTTCTCGTAAATTCATTCATGCACAGAAAACCATACATCTTATTTCAGCCCCAGCAATTTCCTGCCTCACCTCTCCCGAGTCTGTCTTCCTCATCAGGCCACAAAGGCAAGGTCACAGGTTCGTGTCTTCCCATTTGTGGCTGCTCTTGTGCTCAAAAGGGACTGGGGCAGGAAGGCGGGGCCAAGGAGGAACCCCACCATGGAGGTCTCACTGGCCTCTGCACAGGATACTTTTTCCATCTCTCCCCAGGCTGGTGCTGGCCTGAGGATGAGGTGGACGTCTTCCTGGGAATCTCCCACCAGGGCCCGTTCAAAGCAAGCACAGCAGCTAGATCTTTTGACCCTGACGTGGGCTGAACAAGTCAGTTCTGCTCTTTATTAGAACAGGTGCACTCGGATGTTGCTACCTTCCAAAATTTTGACCAATTTTTCCACTGGTTGTTTGTTCACTGAATGATTGATTGATTGATTAAAGTTTATTTATTAATTTTGAGAGAGAGAGAGAGAGAGAGAGTGAGGAGGGGAGGGACAGATAAAGAGGGAGAGAGAGGATCCCAAGCACACTCCTTGCCAGCACAGAGCCCGACGCAGGGCTTGAATTCACAAACAGTGAGATCATGACCTGAACTGAAACAAGGAGTCAGATGCTCAAGCAAATAGCCCCTCACGTCCCCCCAAGTTTTAAAAATTTTTCACTCAAAACATACATAGCTAACAAACAGCCAAGCAGCTTTATTATTTTTCACTATTATTTATTTATCCGGAAGATATAGAACGTGAAAGTTGCACTGAAATGACTCATGTCCAAGCTGTTAAAGAATATAAACGACTCTTTGGAAATATAGGGAGAGGCCAGCGTCTCTCTCACCCTCTCCAAGTTCACCATATCTGCAGTTAGTAGGACAGCAGGACTCCGTATAAAAACGGCTGTTGGTAAGACGGTGGTAACTGCTGCCTGGCTCCCTTTTGACGCTGTTTCGTTTAACTATAATAAGACACCACAAGGAAAAGACAAAACGAGGCAAACTCCAGACAGCCAGCAGGAAGGAAGAAGGGGAGGGTTGGCAATGTGGCCAGAGTTTGACCCAAAACTAGGACAGGCTTCCATATGCCCTGGAGGAAACTTACAGACCTAGTACTGGTGGGACAGCCATAAGTGGTGCAACGTATATATTTTTTAAAATATATTAAAGTCTCTTAAAGTTGTTCCAAGATCATTCAGCAAACGAAGAAAGACTATTTCAAAAAAACAAAAGGTCTACTAATGGTAGTAAGAACAGTGAGTCTGTGACACTTACCATAAGCTGCTTCTTCCCTTCCAACACACACTCAGCTCCTCTGGAAGGAAACTGCATTTTGGGAGGTGTGGCCAAGAAGCTGGAGCTCCCTGTCCCCTCAACCTTCCAGCAATGGATGGTATCTCGGAGGAATCAGCTGGTGGTCAGTAGGTTTAACCACTGGGTATAGTGCGGACAGGCACAGTGGTTAGGGAAAGACACACAGAGTGGGGCTAAGACAACTGTCACCTCCCGGGACTGTGCAGGCCCAGGCTGCACCCTCTGAGGAGAGACACCAGAGGTTTCACCCTGCAGGGGAAGCAGACTTCACCAGGAAAGTCCAGCCAAACACACAAACCCCGTGCACAAAGTTGCAGTGACCAGAGCAGATATCCTTGTCTTATCTCTGATCACAGGGGCAAAACTCTCAGCCTTTCATCAAGTATGGTACCAGTGGTGGGAGTTTTCACACTGATTTCCTTCAGTTCTTCCAACATGCTTAGAATTGCTCTTTGGAAGCCCTGTCTTTGAATCCAATATCCAGGGCCTCTGCCAGGCAATTCCTGTGGCCTGAGTTTTTCCCCTATATGGGTCACACCTTCCTGTTTAGTTGTACATCTTACAGTTCTTGTTAAAACTGAGTATTTTAGGGAACATGGTGTAGTGAATCTGGATACTATTCCCTTTCTGCCTTTCTAGGCCTTGATTTGCTGTTGTCTGTGTGTCCATAAGAATACAGAAATTGCTTTTTTAAACAACAAAATAGAAATTCTGCAGCAGAAATGTATGACTGAAATGAAAATTTTACTAGTGGAGCTCAACGATAGATTTCAATGGCTAGAACAAAGATTCAGTAAATTTGAAGATGTAAAAATTATAAAAACACATGTACTTCACAATTGAGCCCCAAAACACAGGAAGCAAAAAATAACGGGCGTCAAGGAGAAATAGACAATTCAACAACAAGCTGTAGACTTCAATGTCCACATTGACCAATGCGTAGTACAGCTAATCAAAAGGTCAAAACAGAAACAGAAGATGTGACCCACAGATAAACCAAATAGACCTAACACTAGAGCACTTTACCCAACGAAGTAGATTATGCATTCTGTTCAGGTACACAGAGAACGTTCTCCTAAATATGACCAATAGGCCATAAAATGGGCCTCAATAAATCTAAGAGACTTGAAATCCTAGAGTATAACAGGGGGTAAGATCCTTTACATCAGTCTTGACAATAATTTTTGGATTTGACCACAAAAGCAAAGGCAGCGACAGATAAAATGAACAAGTGAGATTACATCCAACTAATACGCTTCTGCCTGGCAAAGGAAACCATCAACAATACAAAAAGGCAGCCCGCTGAATGGGAGAAAGTATTTGCAAATCATATATTTGATAAAGGGTTAACACCCAAAATACATAAAAAACTCATAAAATTAATAGCAAAACCCGAGCAATTTATTTAAAAAGGACAGAGGAACCAAACAGGCATTTTCCCAAAGAGGACATCCAGGTGGCACATAGGTGCATGGAGATGTGCTCAGTATCACCATCATCAGGGGAAACGCAAATCAAAACAACAATGAGGTATCGCCTCACACCTGTTAGAATGACTATCATCAAGAAGACAAAAGGTAACAAGTGTTAGGGAGGATGTAGAGAAAAGGGAAGCCTTGTGCTCTGTGCATGGGACGCAAATTGGTGCAGCCACTGTGGAAAATAATATGGACAGCCCTCCAAAAATTATGGGTAGCATTACATTTGATCCGGCAATCCCACTTCTGGGTATTTATCCAAAAGAAATGCAAGCAAGATCTCAAAGAAAGATCTGCACTCACAAGCTCCCTACAGCATTGCTCACAATACCCAAGATGTGGAAGCAACCTAAGGGTCCATCTATGGGTGTATATATATATATATATATATATATATATATATATATATATATATTTCTGTGAAAAGAAAGAGGAACATCTTGTCATTTGCAACAACAGGGTCGAACTTGAGGGCATTATCATAAGCGAAACATGTCGAACAGAGAAAAACAAATACTGTATGATATCACTTTTATGTGGAATTTTAAAAAGCCAAACTGATAGAAATGGAGAGTAGAATGGTGGTGACCAGGGGCTGGGGGATGGGGGGATGGGGAGACATTGGTCCAAGAGTACAAAGTTCCAGTTATAAGATGAATAGGTTGTGGGGATCTAATGTGCAGCCCAGTGATTATGGCTCATACCACTGTATCATACCTTAACAGTTACAAGAGAGTAGATGATCTTAAATGTTCCCACTCAAACGAGTAATGGTAAATATGTGATGTGATGCAGGTGTTAGCTAATAATACTGTGGTGGCAATTATTTTGCAATATAGAAGTGTATCAAATCAACACACTGCACCCTTTAAAATTACAGTGTTACATTTCAATTATATCTCAATAAAGCTGGATAGGGTGTGGGGGGATAAGGTGGAGGGCCATGGGTGACGTATCTTCACTAGAGAGAATGAACTGGCAAGACTGGCTAAAAATCAGGCCCCAGAGCATTAGCTTCAGATTAAGTGAAAGCCCTCACTACACACGGGGAGAGTTGACTCCAGAAACTGTAAGTGAGTTAGGCAACATCGCAGAGTTGATTCCAGAACAAACCAGGTCCGGGGCACATAGCACCATACGCTGTTGTAGCCTTCTCTCCACACAAAGTCTGGCTATTTTACTCACGGTATTTTCCTCTCTCATGACCTCCTGACAGGAGAAACAGACACTTGGGTCAGAGATACCAACTTGAGGCCAGACTAAGTCTCCTATGAAAATTCCATCCTCTTTCTGCTGTCTGATCTTTAATAGCTGAAAAGACCTCTTTTTCTTTAGGAATGAGGAGATGGCAGAGAGGACCACATTGGTGGCCTTGTCCACACTGATGTCCAGTCAAGGATTCCTCCCTGATTCCTGGGGAAGGAGACTCTCAAGAGGCCGTTTTCTAGGAAAACACCCAAAAAGCAAACGGCAACTGGAGATAAGATTAGCAGAGGCCAAAACTGAGAACAGGCCTCAGAAATCTAAACTGCCCTTCACTGAGGTACAGCCCCTCCCGGGAACAAGATGTGGTGCCACGGCAACCTTAGGAAAGGATCAGCACAGTCCCAAGCAGCATAGGTGGGTTGTGCAATGGAAACAACACAAAGGCACCACTTGCTGGCCCACCTGGCCCATGTCCTGTCCCTTTAAATCAGCACCACTGGGCCCTCCCTCCCTGGGCTCTGAGACTTCCTCCCTGCTCTGTGCTGGCAGGAACAGCCTCTGTACTCACAACCCAAGGCACAGCACCAGGTCCAGGGTTTCTGCAGCCAACAGCAGGGCCTGTCACCACTTCTGCTGGAAGGTGAGCACACACGGGGAGGAAGGGAGCCACCTGGGGCAGAGGGGAGTGGAGGAAGTGGGGGGTTACGTGGGCTCTAAGGAATTCAGGGCCTGGTTGCAGCTCACTGAGTGGGCGCCTGCATTCTACTACCTCCCAGGAAGGGGAGCGGGATCTAGAAAGAATAACTTCACCCTTGCAGGCTTTTCAGGGAGCTCTGAGTTTCAGAACAAGCAAGGGAAGAAGAAAGATAAGCATCTTCTCCAGCCGTGGAGTGCGCACACTTTTACCTGGGACTACATACTTCGTCCTGCCATGCTCCTCGCCTGGTCAGAAAGGTGTTTGCTAGAAGCACTGCCAGGGCTGAGCATGCTGGAGAAGGCTGCAGACACTCCCTCTGAGGGCATGTGCAGCCAAGGAGAGAGACATTTCTGAGGACAAACAAGTGAGTCTAACCTCAGAACACATCACAGAGTGGAAATCGTGTCTGTGAGCCAAACCCCACTCACACCCTCCACCTCCTCAGCCCTGTGCACCCCCAGCGACTTGCAGGAGCCAGCAACAGTTATGAACATGGTCTTCAGACCTCTGCAGTACACGTGTTTGTGTGTCCTTGCACATCCCTTCCCCCGCCCAAGCTGCCCAGGGCTCTGTGGGCTGGAGCCCTCTTCATTCCCACACACTGGCTATAAATGAAGGGCTTGGACAGGATGAATGGCTCAGAAACTCAGAGCTGGGACCCAATGCATTAGAATCACTCAGGGGGTTGGGGAGGGTGCCTCGGTGGCTTGTTCCATTAAGCTTTGAGCCCTGGGATGGATTCTGTGCTGTCAGTTCAATGCCTGGAGCCTGCTTGGGATTCTTCGTCTCCCTCTCTCTCTCTCTGACCCTCCCCTGCTCATGCTCTGTCTCACCGTCTCTCAAAAAAATAAGTAAACAGTAAAATAAATTTTTTTATAAAAAAAATCCCTCAGGAGGAGGGGTGAGAGATACCGTTTTTTTAACGTTTATTTATGTATTATTTATTTATTTGTTTGTTTGTTTATTTTTGAGACAGACATGTGACCAGGAGGGGCACACATGAAGAAGAAGGAGAGAGAATCCGAAGCAGGCTCTGTGCTATCAGCGCAGAGCCTGATGAGGGGCTCAAACCCACAAACCATGAGATCATGAGCTGAACCAAAATTAAGAGTCAAACACTTAACAGACTGAGCCACAAAGGCACCCACTTTTTTCTTATTAAAGTACACATCTATGAAACATAATGTCAAACATATATTTTAAAGACTCCCATAGATACTTCCAAAAGACAGCAGGTTCAGGAAGCTGGGGAATACATAATATCCAATCGCTTTTAAGATGCTAGGAGTCTCCATGTTCTACATCAGTCAGTGACTCCAAGCCTCTAAACCCCAGATGTCAGCTCTCAGAAACTCTGGAAGAATTTTTCAAATCCCATCCCAAACCATCGAAAACCTTTGGGAAGTCCCATAGGGACCAGGAGTCCGGTGGATTTGCTAGAGCACACTTGGTCAGTTCCATCATCGATAAGGACGTCTTGCTTTAGCTAAAGTCTTGTTCTTTGCACTGAATCTTCCGACTGTTTCTTCAGTTCTGCTGTGCAGTCAGTTATGGGAGTTTGCTAATTTTTACACACAAGATCACTACTCACCTGAGGCCTGTGGAATCAACTTTACCAAGGGCTTTGGGGAGCCGAAAGGGGCATTACGCAGAAGACAAACCTGTCATCTAACGGGTCAGAGACAAGTTATCAATCAACCCTTCCCTTTGCTTGTCCTTGTGTGTTGCCCATGGGACACAGCAATAGCCAGGTGTCGCCATGAAGAGGTAGATTTGAAATGGATGGTGGAGCACAGACAAGACTCAGACAGAAACGTGGGAGAGAAGGAGTGGTCATGGGGGTGAGCGCACAGGTGGGCTGGAAAGGCCCTGAAACCTGTCCTCTGCGGAGCAGCTGACCCAGAATGGGAGTGAGTGGGACACAGGGCTGGCGAAGCAGACAGAGCAGAGCTGCGCCCTTGTGACCAGGTCCTCGTGAGATCATGCAGACTCCATCACTGAGTGGCTAGCTGTAGTAAATCTTGCCGGACTTGGGGTCATCGCTTAGTTTGAGAGGCCTCAGATTCGGGGCAGGAACACCAGGAGCCGGAAGGGAGTGTCCCATCTCTCCAGCACACAGGTCATATTTACACAAATGACACAAGCCAAATTCTTTGGTCTTCGGAGAGCAGATCACAGGTTCTTCACATCAGCATGGGAGATAGGTATCTTTCCTAATTTTCAAAAGCAAACTGCAAACTCTCTTCTTGTCCTCCGCACCCCCCCTCCCCGGCCCATCCCCGGCCAACTGCCCTAAGGTGGTTCCTATGTCACTGAGCAGAATTTCTGATTCTCACGGTTTTCCAAAGTCTCCCCTGGCTGTGGAATCTTCTGGCAAAACTTTGTGCCTACAGTTAATGACACTGACATAAATTACATGGGAAATTCTCAGCTAAGGCTCACTCACTGACACAGAGGACGGGTTAGCACCACCACTCTGTCATTTGCATTCAGGGTCCCTGAAAGGACCAACGAGGCTCACCAAAGGATCGCACGGTTTGGTTCAAATACCAACCGGGTCCTTCCAGGGTTCTTCCCCAAATTCTGATGTTCAGAGGAGGGCAGGAAGCATGACCTTTCATTGGGATGTCACCAGCTCTTTGGACCTTGCCTGAGCCACCTTAGGCAGTTAAACCTATTCGATAAACGAATGAATGATTGAAGGAATGAAGGAACTAACAGGTTGTGTTTGGAACTCTTTCAGGTGGGCATGGGAGGACGCAAGATGGCCAGGGATGAAGAAAATGCCTACGGTAAGAACTGATCTCAGTGTGTAGTTGCCCCTAGGCGTCAGCTCTGGGTCCCAAGGCCATGGGCTAACTCAAGACTGAACAGAGACATTGGGGCACCTGGGTGGCTCAGTCGGTTGAGCGTCTGACTCCAGCTCAGGTCATGATCTCACAGCTCGTGAGTTCGAGCCCCACGTTGGGCTCTGTGCTGACATCTCAGAGCCTGGAGCCTGTGTCAGATTTGTCTCCTTCTCTCTCTGTCCGAACCCACTCGCATTCTTCTCTGTCTCTCTCAAAAATAAATAAACATTAAAAAAAAAAAAAAAAAGACTGAACAGAGACAATCCTAGACATGTCCCCATGCTGGGGTGAAACAGCTAGAGCCCCAGCTTTGCATTTTTGCTGGACCTCTGCCCTTGCCCTACTGTAGGATATTAAGTGCCTTGACTACCCTGTGCCTTGGGTCCCAAAGTGTACAAGGAGGATAATACATCTACTCTGATCCCCACAGAAGATGTGGAGGTTTGAGATCATGGACTAGAGGGAACACGGTTTACCAGGTAGACTGTATACGTGAACAAGGATGGAGGGGTTACCTGTGTCTTACTGGAAGCAGGTTTACTAGAGAGAAGAGGGAGGAGGAGGGGAAGTGGAGGAAGGGAAGAAGCAAAGAGATCCTGTCACCTAATACTCTGAGCAACCCTGGGAGACACAACTCTCTGTCACCCCTCCCATTATGCAGAAGACGTTGAACGCTTAGACTAAACTTGCCCAAGGTTCCACAGCTGGCACATGCGGGGCTGTGATTCCAACCCGGGGTTGTCTGGGACTCCAGACAGCCCTTCACTCCCAGGCCTTCTGTGCCCTCCCACATCTCCTCGCTGGGATGGCCCCTGGGAGAAGTCTGGCAGAGGCCTGGGAAGTCGTCAAGCACAGAGCAGCTCTGCAAGGTGCGGACGACCAGAGGTAATGTCAGCTGAAGTCATGGCCTGCGACCGTGGAGGGGGACCCTCCAGAGCAGTGTGCACCCGGTGCCAGAGCATGGACTGGGGGGCAGGTGCACACACTGGAGCCAAAGATGGAAGAAAGGTGTTTAAAGATGCCCCGGAGTCGCACAAGCTCTAACCAGAGCGCCTGGGAAAGGCCTGGTTGGACAAGCAGAAGCGGGAGGCGTCGGTGCCCTCCTCCGTTCAGGAAGCAGCCCGGAGCCCAGGTGGAGCGGGATGCGCGCTCTCAGGCCGGCGGCCCACGTCTACTCTGTCCTCACAGGTTCCCAGGACCCGGACGACCAGCAGCCCCTCGCGCAGGAGCGCAGGCTCAGGCTCATCCTGGCCGGCAGGACCGGAGTGGGCAAGAGCGCCACGGGCAACAGCATCCTGGGCCACAGGCTCTTCCCGTCCAGGCTCGCGGCCACCCCGGTGACCAGAAGCTGCGCCCTGGGGAGCAGGAGCTGGGCCGGGTGGCGCGTGGAGATCACCGACACCCCTGACCTCTTCACCGCCCAAGGCCGGCACGCGGACCCGGACTGCACCGAGCGGGCCAGCTGCTACCTGCTCTCGGCGCCCGGGCCGCACGCGCTGCTGCTGGTCACGCAGCTGGGCCGCTTCACCGCCCAGGACGAGGAGGCGGCGCGCGGCGTCCGCGAGCTGTTCGGCGCCGGCGTCCTGGCGCGCGCCGTGCTCGTCTTTACGCGCCGGGAGGACCTGGAGGGGGGCTCGCTGCACGACTACGTGCGCGCCACCGACAACCGCGCGCTGCGGGCTCTGGTGGCCGAGTGCGGCGGCCGCGTGTGCGCCCTGGACAACCGGGCGGCGGGCGCCGAGCGCGATGCGCAGGTGGGCGAGCTGCTGGCGCTGGTGGAGCGGCTGGCGCTGGAGCACAACGGCGCGCCCTTCACCGACGACGTGTACGGCCTGGCGTGGGCCCGGCGCCACGCACGTCCCGAGGACACGCTCCGCCTGGTGGCCGCGCGGCTGGCGGCCCGTGGTCTGGGGCGGGGGTGGAGGCGGGAGTGGGGGCGGGGGCGGCGCTGGCTGGAGGTGGCGAGGCGGAGGTGGCCGCTGGCGCTCCTGCTACTGGGGGGCACACTGTTATTTGTCCTGCTGCTTCTCCAGCGGGGGGCTCCAGGCCCAGATTGAAGGCCCTGCCCTTCCAAATGCGCGGAGCCTGGAGGGTAAAGGGGCTGGGTCAAGGCGCTGAGGGGAACTTAAACCCAATTTCAAAGGAAACCTGGAGTTTCAGACTGGAAGTCTTAATGACTCAGGACGCCTTGGACACTGTATCGACTTTGCAAAGGCTCAAGTTCACTTTTAGCATTCAGTCACTTTTGACTATATGTACACTATTCTAATAAATGTGGTTAACTTTCAAATGTCCTTAATTCATTTTAGTAGTTTGGATGTATTTTTCCTTCTTGAAAAAATAGTGCATTGACTGGTAGTGTTTTATATAGAGTGGATTCATGGCAAAGGGAAACAAACATTTTTGTGTGTGTGTGAGCATTTATCAAAACGTAGACACTGTCTTAGTCCGCTTGAGTTGCTATTAAAAAAAAAAAAAAACGGGAAAGCTCTCAGTTTTTCCCCATTAAGGATGATATTAGCTGTGGGCTTTTCATAAATGGCCTTTATGGTGTTTAAGTATGTTCCTTCTATCCCAACTTTCTCCAGGGTATTTTTTAAGAAAGGATGCTGAATTTTGTCAAATGGTTTTTCTGCATTGATTGACAGGATCACATGGTTCTTTTCTTTTATTAATGTGATGTAGCACACTGATTGATTTGCATATGTTGCACCAGCCCTGCGGCCCAGAAATGAATCCCACTTGAAAATGGTAAATAACTCTTCTTATATGCTGTTGAATTTGACTTGCTAGTATCTTACTGAGAATTTTTGCATCCATATTCATCAGGGATATTGGCCTGTAGGTCTCTTTTTTTTGTTGGGTATCTGTCTGGTTTAGGAATCAAAGTAATGCTTGCTTCATAGGATGAGTCTACAAGTTTTCCTTCCCCTTCTATTTTTTGTAACAGCTTGAGAAGGATAGGTATTATCTCTGCTTAAATGTCTGGTAGAATTCCCCAGGGAAACCATGTGGTACAGGACTCCTATTTGTTGGGAGAGTTTTGATAACTGATCAAATTTTTTATTTCTTCCTGTTTGAGTTTTGGAAGTGTGTAGGTGCTTAGGAATTTGCCCATTTCTTCCAGGTTGTCCAATTTGTTGGCATATAATTTTTCATGGTATTCCCTGAGAATTGCTTGTATTTCTGAGGGATTGAGATCAGGATCACGACAGGGATGTCCACTCTCACCGCTGTGTTTACCATGGTGTTGGAAGGTCTAGCATCAGCAATCAGGGCGGCGAGCGCCAAGCGCAATGCGCAGGTGGGCGAGCTGCTGGCGCTGGTGGAGCGGCTGGCACTGGAGTACGACGGCGCGCCCTTCACCGACGACGACGTGTACGGCCTGGCGTGGGCCCGGCGCCACGCGCGTCCCGAGGACACGCTCCGCCTGGTGGCCGCGCGGCTGGTGGCCCTCGGCCTGGAGCGGGGGTGGAGGCGGGAGTCGGGGCGGGGGCGGCGCTGGCTGGAGGCCGCGCGAGGGAGGTGGCAGCTGGTGCTTCTGCTGCTGGGGGGCGTGCTGCTGCTGGGCCTGGTGTTCCCGCGTGGGCCCCTGGCCTTGCCTGAGGGCCGTCCTGAGTGACCCTGTTAGAAGGACTTTGACCCATCAACTGAAGATCACGTTGCCCTGCTGGTTTGTGCGTCTCTAGGGCCCACAAGCTCTTCCTTCATTCCTCCTATTCAGAGCCCTGCCTTGGGCCAACTCCTACAATACCTTCCCAGAGGTCAAGGGCTTCCCTGAGCTCTCTCTCCCTTGAGTGAAGCCGAACAACCAGCGTTTCTTTGGTCTGTTTTCCGCCGATCAGACTGCCTCTCCCGTCGTTGAACTGTCTCCGCTCCTGTCTTTGCCTTCCTGTCCTGGACTCCCCTCAGGTTAGGGTGAAAGCCAACAATGATCAGAGCCTCCGGCCATACTCGTTTATTTGAGTTATCTGAATTGAATAAATAAACGCACTAAATCACATTGTGTTTTCTTTAAATATAATTTATTGTCAAATTGGCTTCTATTCAACACCCAGTGCTCATCCCAACAAGTGCCCTCCTCAATGCCCATCCTTCAGCTGGTAGATGATTTTTCTGCTTTATCTGCCCATTGAATAGACACTATGTCATTCTTAGCCCAGTCTGCAAAAACCAGATACCTCATGCTTGCGCGTGCACACACACACACACACACACACACACACACACACTCAAGCACCTAATCATAAGAACAGAATACACTGGAATAGAACTGTCCATCTGTACCAGCAAGGGAATTTGTCCCTGGGCATGGCCATTCCCACCCCTCTGCAGCTTGCAAGCAGACGTTCTACAAGTCCCAGGAGAATAAGACTAGAGACTCCATTCCCTAGGGGCCATTGAGACCCTGAAGAAAGTCCACTTCCAAAGAGGAGTTTTTTTGACTGGCTCACACACTCACAGGGCGAGGATACACTTTTCAACTCAGGGATAAATAAACAACATTTAAGAGGTTTGGAAATTTTTCTTTTATTTCAATCTCAAAAAAAGTCCGGGTGGGTAGGGAGACAAACAGATTTGTGGGCCAACTAGTGAGATGATGTGAGGTGCAGAATCATCTCCTTCTGTCCCATGCATCTCTGGAAGGGTCATCTCTCCGGTCCAGGTCAAATGAGCCAGGTTAGCCTCTATTGTCCATCCTAACTGTGCCTCCTTAGCTCTCTACCCACACTTGCTTTGTCTCCAACATCTCTACCCTCACACACAAAGTCAAGCCCCTCTCTGATACTACGGTGCAATTCCATATCTCTTCCCTCCAGTATCCTCTGCCAGATTGTCCTCACAGCCAGGGATTCTCAGGTTGCTGATGACCTCAGATTTCTAATGAAATGCATAAAAAGGGGAAATTGTCTGCAACAGCTGAGCACACATCGCAAAGAAAGGCCCACCAGCCTGCATACAAGCCATGCAGACATGAACGGGGACACAGATGCCACACGCTAAGACCTGAAATTCCCTCAACTGCAAAAGTTATTCTGGCTTAAGGGGTTGTGTATGGTTCTAGCAGAAGCCCTGATAAGGAATCTTGATTTGGGTCTTGTTCACTTCTCAAACAGAAAGAAAGAAAAAAAAATAAAACAAAACTCTGGCAGTGTCACTTTGCTGAGAAAGGGGATGGTCCCTGGCAAAAATAAATGTGAGAAAAGAATAACAAGGTGTCCAGCGTGAACAATGGAAACTTTTAACTCATGACCCAAATAGTGAGAAATATTGGCTTCTTGCTCTTTAGTTGGGGAGGTTGAGAGCCCAGGGAACTCCCAAGGAGCAGTGTTTGAGCTGATGGTAATATGGGAAGGAACATTCCGGGGGTCCTAGAGGGCCAGCATGTCCCACTAAGGCTGCGATCCAGGACATATTGAGAAGAGAGTGTGTTTGTGGGCAGTGTGTTAGAAGCTATCTATACATGTAGGATATATGTGAAAGTATAGAGCATGCCAGGAAAAACTGTCTGAAACAGGGTGCCTGGGGCACTCAGTTGGTTAAGTGTCCAACTCTTGATTTCAGCTCAGGTGATGATCTCACTCACGGTTCATGAGATGGAGACCCACGTTGGGCTCTGTGCTGACAGAGCAGAGCCTGCTTGGAATTCTCTCTCCCTCTCTTTCTGCCCCTTCCCCCTCTCAAAATAAATAAACTTAAAAGAAAACCTATAAAACTCTGAAAACACAGTGTAAATCTTTACAACCGTAAGTTAGGCAATAGTTTCTAATATATGACACCAAAATCAGAAGCAACCAAAGAAAATAGATGTACTGGATTTTGTCAAAATTTAAAATTTTTGCATACCATGGAACACCATCAAAAATGAAAAGACGACCCACAGAATGGGAGAAAATATTTGCGAATTACATATCTGACAAAGATCTAGTACCAGACTATATAAAGAACTCTTACAACTCCACAATAAAAAGACAAATCACTCAGTTTTTAAATAGATTTAAAAAAATGGATTAGACATTTCTCCAAAGAAGATACACAAATAATCAACAAACACACGAAAAGATGCTCAACATCATTAGTCACTAGGGAAATGCAAATCACAGAATGAGAAACCACTTCACATTCATGGAGTGGTTATAATTTTAAAAAAAGAAAAAGAAAAACTAACAAACACTAGTGAGGATGTAGAGAGATTGAACCTTTATACATTGCTGCTCAGGGTGTAAAATGGTGCTGCCACTGTGGAAGATAGTCTGGCAATTCCTCAAAAAGCTAATCATAGAGTTGTCATGTGACTCAGTAATTCCATTCCTAGGTATATACCCAAGAGAACTGAAAACATGTTCACACAAAAACTTGTACATGGATGTTCATAGCATTATTTATTATAGCCAAAAAAGTGGAAGCAACCCAAATGTATATAAACTGATAAATGGATAAACAAAATATGATATATCTAGACAATAGAATATCATTTAGCCATAAAAAGAAATGGAGTACTGATCCATGTTACAACCTTAATGAACCTTAAAAGCATTATGCTAAGTGAAAGAAGCCAGACACCAAAAAATCACATAAAGGTATGGTTCCATTTATATGGAATGTCCAGAAACTTGAGTGGGCTCATGAGAGCATCCTTAAGAGGGTTTTAACTTTAGTTCTTTGTACTCTGTTAACATTTATATTCAGTTTCACTTTCTAAGCTTTTCTCCCCACTAATGGGTTGAATTGTACTATCCCAAAAAAGATATGTTCAAGTCCTAAACCCCAGTACCTATGAATGTGACCTTATTTAGAAATAAGGTCTTTGAAAATTTAATTGTTAAGAAAAAGCTATTAGACTTCAAACTGTATTACAAAGCTGTAATCATCAAGACAGTATGGTACTGGCACAAAAACAGATACATAGATCAACGGACCAGAATAGAAAAGCCAGAAATGGACACACAAATATATGGCCAACTAATCTTTGGCAAAGCAGGAAAGAATATCCAATTGAAAAAAATACCGTCTCTTCAGCAAATGTTGTTGGGAAAACCGGACAAACAACATGCAGAAGAATTAAACTGTACCACTTTCTTATACCATACACAAAAATAAATTCAAAATGGATGAAAGACCTAAATGTAAGACAGGGAACCATCAAAATCCTACAGAACACAGACAGTAACCTCTTTAACCTCAGCCACAGCAACTTCTTGCTATACATGTCTCCAGAGGCAAGGGAAACACAAAAGCAAAAATAAACTATTGACACTTCATCAAAATAAAAAGCATCTGCACAGCAAAGGAAACAATCAACAAAACTAAAAGGCAGCCAGCCTATAGAATGGGAAAAAATATTTGCAAATGACATATCTGATAAAGGGTTAGTATCCAAAATCTGTAAGGAACTTATAAACTCAACAACCAAGAAAGAAATAATCCAGTGAATGGGCAGAAGACATGAATAGACACTTTTCC